ACATGAAGAATTAGGAGTAAGACAATGAGTTTCTCGTTGGATATCCCACCTGTTGACTGACTGGAAGAAAGCAGCCAGGGTTAATTGGTGTCAAAAAACGCTTGATTGTTTCAATTCCGGAAACTCAAAAAATGTGTACAGCATTGTTGGTGGTGACGAATCGTGGATTTTCTGTTATGAACCAGAAAATAAACAACAGTCGACTGTATGTGTGTTCCAAAGTGAAGAAAAGCCAACAAAAGTCATCCGTCCTCGAAGTGTTTCAAAAGAGATATTTGTGTCAAAAGCGGGTCATATTGCAACAATTCCTCTTAATGAGCAAAGAACTGCTACTGCGGATTGGTATACCATCATTTGTTTGCCAAAAGTCATCACCGAGCTTCGAAAAATCAATCGCGAAAGAAGAATCATCCTCCACCAAGGCAATGCAAGCTCAGCCCAAAAAACAAGGCAGTATTTAGCGGAAGAAAACGCGGAATTATTGGACCATCCTCCATATAGTCCCGATCTAAGTCCTAACGATATCTTTACTTTCCCAAAAATTAAAAACAGACTGCGTGGTCAAAGGTTCCAGTCACCAGAAAAAGCAGTTGACGCATTCAAAAATGCCGTTTTGGATCTGCTAGCAAACGAGTGGAATAAGTGCTTCGAAAATTGGTTCGAACGCATGCAGATGTGTATTAATCGTCGTGGAGAATACTTAGAAAAACAATAAAGTCATTTAAAACTACCTACGATATTGTTTTATTTCCGTATGCAAAACTTAAAAGACATCCCTCGTACCCTTGAAAACTACAAAAAATTAAATAACAATTATAGACATGTATAAGTATAAACGTACGAAGAAATCTATGATGAGTGGGATATGTCTAAAAAGTGCATAAAATTACCACGGTTGGAGGCATATAAGTATACCACTGTCAAAAAATTGAGATATACCTCCTCCATTCACTTGTTCACCTCTTAAATTTTTTACAAAAATGATCAGGTTACCCGAACCACCAGAAAAGTATGAGCTATTTTTGTTTTTTCACTTTTTTGCCGCTAGTTAAGCCGCCATTAGATAGATTTTTAAAAACTATAAAGCTTTTTCGTCCTTATTTGAAAATTTCATCAAAATCCGAGCCGTCGTTTCCAAGTGATTAATTAGTTCAAAGACTAGCGAACAGATGACAGAAAATGAGTGACATGGTTTTTCCTGATGTACAAGTACTCCTACCTATAACATCCAAAAAACATATCTCGTGTTCGCGAATCAAGTAACTAACTTGTATGATTTTTTAAGTCTAGTTTTGTAGTATTGCTTTTGGACTTTTTATTTGCTCTTCTGTTTTCTTTGAACACTCAAAAAATAAAAGAAACACCCAAGGAAAATTGAACATCAAAATGCCGCAAAACTCAAAAAGTTAATTTTTCCAAATTTGAATACCCTGGGACCTACCGTTGACTATCTTCAGTAAACACGTACGTTTAAGATGTCGAATATACCTTTTGAATGCCTTCCAAATAAGCCTCCTTTGTAGCAGGAGCGATTGAAAAGTGAATTAAAAACAAATGTTCCAAAAATGTAATGTCAGTATGGTTTCAATTTTTCCTTAGTATTGCAACTACTGAATTCCACAGTGACATAAGTATTCCTAGCTGTTATAAAATCCTCAAGTATTATAAAAACAAATCTTCTAAAAGAACAGTTAATACAGTGACCTACGTGTAAGCTACACTTGTTTGGTGAAGCGATAATTTTTTTGAAAAGTAAATGAATTTTAAAGGGTCCATTCAAAGACTCAAATATAAGCTTAATATCACTAACAGCTCAGGCAATTCAGAGCCGATGACTGCACCGAGCATGCCAGTTAGCGTTCGATTCTAACCAAGTAGCCGATACTAGCTTTTCGAAAAAAAAAGTGGTATTCGGTGCATCCCTATAGAAAGGTATGAACAATGTTTTGGGTTATTAGCTCTTGTATACCATAAAACCTCATTGATCTGGGACCATTCGAGTATTACATAAACACTAGAGGGATGCGGGGGTCTTCACATATCTTTGATGATATGGGGGATGGAGAAGATCTGAATGGTGATTACGTCAGCCATATTTATTTACTTTTTCGGATTTTCCACAAAATATAGTAGATTTTGATTTGAAAACTTATAAAAAACCCTGCTTGTCGGTGCTCGAAAGCCAAACGCATCTTCAGGGATTCCCTAAATATGGATACGCTTACTAGTTTAGGACCTTAGCTGTAAATGCACTTGGTAGAAATGCGTATAACCGAGTAGAGCAAAGAATGACTCCTCTTATTTTTTTATCTATTCCAACTACCACGAAGGCCTAAGGCCAAAGCACCCATTGGGTACCGTGGGGCTATAGGGGGATACATGGGAAAGGGGGGGAACGCCACACGGACTCTGGCGAGGGAACACGTGTGTATGCAACATGCACACATTCTGGCTCCGCCTACGAGATCCGCCGGGTGGTACCTCCGCATTCAACAGTCAGAGACCGTCTACCACCTACGGACAATCACAACATCCATAGCCAAGAGAAAAATTTCTCCTTGGGCGGGACTGGAACCCGCACAGCGCACGGCGACTGATCCTGAGACCGAAGAGTCTACTACTGCGGCCACCGCTACTGCCTATATTCTAAGGCCTAAGTCGGGAAATGGTTTGTTTGATACTGCCTCATGACCATTTTGGATGAACGTGGCTTCACAATTAATGAACATTTAGAAAGATCCCATTTTGGAGTTTGACGGAAATGTATTAGCAGATACCTCATACCTAAAGTTCAATGGAAATAGATGGTTATCGTGTTACTGCAGATCTTTGTCATTTTCCAGACAATAAATGGTATTTAAAACGATTGCCTGAAAGCCAATACTTTAAGTTGTAAAATGTACCAAAATGTTTGCGTAAAATATTTGCTTTCTTTTACTGACAATTAACGCATAGTCTCAGTATTATCCGCGTTTACTAGAACTCCTTCCGATTTTGTATCTTTTGTTAATTCAAGATCAGACACATTTTTGGGAGCGACTGTTGATCATAATGAAATAGTACATTACATACCTTGGTGGAAAAGTGCGCTATTATTGGCCGTGCCACTTCGGGGAACTTCGGCAGCTCGGTGATTACCGCGTCCAGCTAGCAACCCGTGGCACGCGGATTCTAGCCTCCACCTCGGATGTTTAATTCTGTGTGTTGTCTATATCATGCACGTGGGTGCAATATTAACGAAACGTACATCTCACCACTGGTGTTGGGTGATTATATCAGTTACCAGTAGATGGCTCGTGGAGTAGTACAGTGTTGGTACTACGAAGTTGGTAAAAAGGGTCACTACTACTACTAATATCTCGTTTTCAAAATTTTGCGCGGTTACAACACTTCCTCGCCAGTGACACTGGAAGCAAAAACACTGAAACTTTCTTTTTCGACATTGTAAGATATATGGTGATCCTCTTATTTAATTTGTTGCATGCGCTGCTGTAACTGCCCGTAGGGTATATAACGAAAACGCAAGCTTGGTCAATAGCAGCACGCATATATCCTATTATGAAATTAGAGCCACTCCATTCAGTTTGGAGCCACGGCCGAGTGACTGCCCACGCTTCAGGGCATGACTTGCGTGCGAATCCCTGCTCGGTTGCATACACACACACATGCAGACCAGAAGAAAATATTGTTTTCAACGAGATGCAGAGATTGCGAGATTGCTGACCAGAACTATACGTACGGTGCTCTTGTATCGTAGATTACTGCAACGATCATACCAGTGACGTGCAGGAATGATATTTGACAGCTCCAAAGAAGCTATTTTGAATATATATCAACTTGATGGAAAGCTTCTACTTGAGAAAAAGTTTTTAAACGATCACTCTTAATTCCCTGAACTTTGGAAACATTCAGTCAGAATGTTGGAGTTTTTAGGCACTAACCAGTGATCAACGTATTCTAACACAAGATAGCCAACCATGTAGTGTATTTTGGTGTCCAAAATTTAATACGAGGTGACATGATATACAATCACGTCATCTATGAGTATTTGTTACAGCTATGCTCCTCCTTTGCCAGTCTCTCATAGATGGCGATAAATCTAACCATATGCTCATATAAGGCTTATTCTGGCGACGATTTTTCAACGGTTATGGACGGTTTTAAACAGTTAACCAAGTAAGATGGACGTACGGAGTTGACCATTCATTTGGTTAAGTCAAAATGATGGTTACACAGAGTGTGAAAATCATTTCTAGAGCAATTTCTGGCAGCAGCGGCATCGTAATGGTGGACGCCATGGGTCTACTTATCAATCGCGGTGCGCTGCGCGGGTTCGAATCCCGTCCCAAGCAAATTTCTCTCTTTGCTATGTTGTGATTGTCCGTAGGTGGTATACGGTCCATGGCTATCGAACGCGGAGGTACCACCCGGCGGACCTATAAAGCCGGGCCAGAATGTGAGCATGTCACCTGCAGACGTGTTCCGTCGCTAGGGTCTGTATGACGCCCTTCCCCTTTCCCCTATAGCCCCAAGGTATCCATGGGTGTTTAAGCCTTAGAATATAGGCAGCAACGGTGGCCGCAGTAATAGACTCGTCGGTCTTCTGATCAGTCGCCGTGCGCTGTGCGAGATCGAATCCCGTCCCAAGATAAATTTTCTCTTGGCTATGGATGCTGTGATTGTCCGTAGGTGGTAGATGGTCTGTGACTGCCGAACGCAGAGGTACCACCCGGCGGATCTCGTAGGCGGGGCCAGAATGTGTGCATATTGCATGCACACGTGTTCCTTCGTCAGAGTACGTGTGGCGTTCCCCCTTTCACCTGTATCCCCCCATAGCCCCACGGTATCCCATGGGTGTTTAGGCCTTAGGCCTTCGTGGTAGTTGAAGTATAAAAAATATACAGGTTTATAAAAAAATGCTTATTGTATAGTGTAGTAAAAATGGTGCACAACAAGCATCTTGGCAGAGCTGCAAATATGAAACATAATAAATATTTACTCTATAAGTTTGGTGAGCGACTGGAATAAGAAATTTCTGCCCATGTTAAGAGAAAATGTTTTTTGGTAAAATAGTACTTATATCTCACATACTTACATATACTGAGTATTTGGTCTGTGGAAAGTTGTCCTGATCTTGTGAGATGTAGGATGAAATTACTCACCTGAAACAAGAAATAACAATAAAATATGTTATCCAATAGATAGAGGATTTCACAAATATTTATGTATATTTGGAAATTTTACAAAACTTGCAGCGGAATAATAATAATTTGCCTTTAAAAAGTGAATTCAACGCGTCATAATCCCTTATCTATGAACGTGTTTTCTAAAGTTTCAACAGATGTGGAGCACAGCTCACATGTTTCGGGTGCTTCTCCCCCACTACATTATCCACGCTTGTTGCTATTCAGAGGATCGTCGTCCCGTCTCTAGCTGGTAGTCTCGGGACCCTTTCGCACCGACGAGCCGTAGGCTATCTAGCCCTCTTCTACCGCTATGCCAACAGACTTTGTTCCTCAAAGCTCTCCTGCATGATGCCTCCGAGCGATATGCCTGTCAGATACACCTGCTTGACATCACCCTCCCAGCCTAACCCTGTTGAACTTGGTACATCGAAAACCGGCCGATACGAACACTCCTTTGTACCTAGGGTATCGGGATTGTCATACAATCTACGTAAGGCAATTCACAAATCGGTTTAACAAAGTTTCTTTGCGCTACTCATAGAAGCCGCGGTCCCTGGGATTTAGGGCTCTGCCTTTTCGATATAAAGAAAATCGAAATCAGGAAGTTGTTTCTGGATAGTGACATTGTCCGAGGAATCAATGCACAATGACTGAGATTGCCAAGTCAAAACATATATAAAAATTATACACATAATGTTGAGATTTCCATCTCTCAAGGTCCTAAACATTTTTGGAGTTACATACGTACAAAAAATCGAACTACTAGGATTCCTGGTAAAATGAAGTTGAATGACGTCTCACTGAACGATCCTTACTGTGCTGTCAATGCATTTGCAGATTTTTTTAATAGTGTTTTTGTTGATCCATCTACTCGCAATGATATTATTGAAGGCAGGAATCCTACTAGTCAGATTAACATATTTTCCAATGACTTTCATGAAAATGATATTATTGCTGCATCTAAAAAACTCAAGAACAGAGTAACTGCCGGCCCAGACAACATCCCCTCGTTCATATAGTCAAACGTTCATGTCTTTGTTAAGCCGTTATCAAAAATATACAATCTGACTATAGAAACCAACACATTCTCTAATACTTGGAAACTTTCTAGAGCGACACCTATTATCAAATCAGGGGATAAACTGATATTAAAAACTATAGAGCGGTGGCAATATTGTCGAATTTCTCCAAATTGCAGGAGATAATATTGCATAATAGAATTTACTCCGCAGTTCGTAGATCTCTGTCCCCTTCTCAGCATGGTTTTCTTACTAAGAGATCCACAGTAACTAATTTAACAATCTTCACTCAGTTCGCTATTGAATGTGTAGATCGGCAAGGTCAACTAGATGTAGTATATACCGATTTTGCTAAAGCGTTCGGTAGGGTGGACCATGGCATACTTTTGAATAAAGTTTTTCATTATGGATTCGATTCATCAGCTTTAGCACTCATTTAAAGTTATCTTCATGAAAGGAAGCAATATGTTACTTTTAATGGATTCAAGTCGTACCAGTATATAACTAAATCGAGAGTGCCTCAGGGTTCAAATCTTGGTCCTTTATTGTTTACTTTATTTATTTATGATGTTGTGCATTATTTAAGTTGTAATAAGCTCCTTTGCGGATGATATAAAATTATTCAGGAGTATTGAGTCTGAGACTGATTGTATTGCACTTCAGCGTGATAGGGGCTTGGTGTGACGAGAATAATTTATTTCTTAATGCGTCTAAGTGTAGTGTAGTCAGCTTCTGCTTGTAAATTTAATTATAAAATTGGGGATGCTTACATAAATCGTTATAACTCAGTTAAGGATTTGGGTGTAGTTTTTGACCATAAACTTAATTTTTCACTCCACATAGCTCAAAAGGCGAGTGAAGCCTTGCGGGCGTACGGTTTTATTGTGAGAAACTGTAGAAGCTTTAGCCGCCCAGAGTCACTGTTGGTTTTGTATTCTGCATATATTGGATCGAAATTGGAATATGCATCGTTAATTTGGAACTCAATTTACAACTGCTACATTGATTCTCTTGAGCATGTTCAGAGAAAGTTTCTAAAATTTGTATCTTTTAAAGTTGACGGTATATATCCTGAACGTGGTATATCTGAAAGTTTGTTATTGTCTAGGTTTCAAGTGCAGTCTTTAGAACTGAGAAATTGATGCTAATGGGATTGTGGCTCAAATAAACTTTAGTGTTCCATCTATTCAAACTCGTATAGCTAAAATATTTTATTGTGACAGCGCTCACACAAATTTGTTTTTGAAGGCATCCCCACATACGAGCCCCTCACCACTTCAGTTGGCTAACTTCAAGATTTGTACCAAAATATGCCTTTATAAACTAAACATGACAAACTATTTAGTTCTAAAACAATTTGTTTTCTCAAAAACATTTTAGATACACTCTACTCTTAAAAAATACATATTTGAAATCACTTAGGCCTATAACTAATAGAACATCTGAACAAATAAGCAATGTGCTAATAAATTTTTTATTATGGCTGAAATTCTTTGGGGCATAGTGTTAACCAAATTTTGGCAAAAATTTTTTGTAAAACAATCCCATATTTCTTGAAGCTCTTGTCTCAGTTCGGTGATTGTACGAGCAGGATGTTGTCGTAGAACCTTTTTCATCTCGTGCCACAAAGTTTCAATAGGTGACAGATCTGGACTGCTAGAAACCCATTTCAAAAGTGGTACATTATTTTCTTCCATCCATTTTATAGCCTTTTTTGAGGTATGGCACGCTGCATCATCTTGCTGAAACACAAAATCTTGGCCGGATGTCAAACTTTCTTCCATCACTGGTAAAAGCGATTCTTCTAAAATTGCCAAATATTTGTTTGTATCCACATTTCCATCAATAAAATGAAGTTTTACTACTCCTTTTGATGACATACTGCCCCAGACGATAATGTATGCTGGAAATTTCACTTTTCTCTTCAGACAGTCAACATGGAATGCTTCATTTTTTTGCGAATAACTCTACTGCGACTGTCACTAACACAAACTTCGAATCGGGCCTCATCACTCCATTGTATTGCACACCATTGTCTATGTTCTTGAGCCCATCTAAGCCGATTTTTCTTTTGCAGTGGAGTTAATAGTGGCTTTTCTTTGGCCTATAAACAAGTTGTGCAACTTTAGGGTTTTTACTTCACTTTTTTTTATAAGAAAACTTACCTTGCAAGTGCTAAATCCCAGTTTGTGGGCCTCTCTATGAGTTGTGGTCCTCGAAATTCTCCTTCCAAGAGCGTCAACCCACAGAGCACTTAATTATAAATAATTGGCACGCCTATTTTTCACGATTATTCTTGTTACTGCTTTTCGGTCGGCATTTGTGATATTACTTTTTTTCACATATCGTGGCTTAATATTAACTGAACCAGTTACGTTGTACCTTCTAACAATATTTCTCACACTGTACCGCGATAAGTCTAATAAAGTTGCAATTAACCTGAGTTTGATTCCCCAGAATTAAAAAATTTAATTATCAGTAACCGAATTTTCTCACTAATAACCTTTCCTCTAACCATTTTGACAACCTCAACTACAGAAAACTATTTTAAACGTATTCTGACAGCTGTGATTAATAAAAACAATTGTCATGGCTTTTATTTTTCACAGCCGCCTATGCGTTATAGACTTATTTTGCATTGAAATGAAAATAGGTTGATATGCTGTAATTGCAACATGTGTTATTTTTATGCTGCAAATTTGATTAGGGAGTGATAAAGTTGGTAGTTTCTACTATATATTATCAAAATATTAATTGTTAATATTTTAAACCTATAACACCCTGCTACATTTTTATTATTTGTGTTTGATAAGAAAAAAACTAAGATTTCAATAGTTGGGCCAACGAAGTGGGAAGGGCCTCGTATGTGATCTGTGAAACTTTTAATGCGATATCAAATTATATATATATATATACATACTGACAGTTCGAATAGCATTCTGGGAGTAGCTAAAAATTGCTCGGATAATTTATGATATGTTGCTCATCATAGATGAAATCGCCTGCTTTTTATGTGTTTTCTGTTCTTGTTATTTTGATTTATCTTAGGATTGTCCTGTAAATGGTTTCCTTAGCTGTTGGGTAATAAACGCTATTTATTATTATTATAACACCAGCTTTTAAAGGACCTCTAGGTCGCCCCCAAATGAGGTGGCGAAATAACTTGGTCAGACCTATCAAAAATGGACAAGCTGACCCAGGAGGTCACACGAGATTAAGGCAAATTGTGAAGTATTATACCCAGGGTTGTAATGCTGTTTGTAAGTGAAACCCTGTGGTAAGACTTTCTTCACGTCACTGTCCAAGTAGTATACATAACACACACATACGCGCATATTATAAAGATACGACCGCCGTCGCCGCCGACGGTTTAATGCACGCCCACGTCCAGACGTTGGACTGCGTCGGTTCCCATGACACAGAAACAATGCAAAACTGTACCAAATGCAGGCGACTCAAAAACACACGTGTTGCGACACAACACATCAGACACCGACACGGCTTTAATGGACTTAACTCCATCAGATCTACCAACGTTATCTGAACATACTCGATTGTAGTATATGGTACTGACCCAGAAATATCGCGTATTAGTTGAAAAGATCAGTGGTCATGTTAGCAGTCCCAACATACGTAATTCAGACAATTTGAGGCCATTGAATTATCCTAAAGTACCGGTAATAGAAGAGCCTGGTGTAATAGGGTACCCAACCCACATTTGAATAAAAAGCACATGTCCATCTAAAAACGCCTGAAGTTGATTTTTTGACAATCCAGCGATACATGTCGCTAGACTCTTCATGTTGAACACCGATATCCCACATACATAAACATAAAGCTTTTCAGTTAAGCAAAAATAAGACAACATTCGAATTCTAACGCTGTATAGATTTCTTCAAACTGTCTTAATTACCTTAATACATATGTGCATAATATGCATTTATTAGTAGCAAAAACTCACATGAATTGCCAGTTTGTGTCAGGCATAATGGACGAATTACACGGTTGATAATTGAGTTAGCACGGTTAAAACGTGCCTTTTTTCCATCCTTAGCACTGCTGATGAAATCACACGTGCTTAAGGCAGGCATTTGTGCAATAATTGAGGCAATGAAGGTGACTCCTTCACGCAAGCACATACGGCAAAGTGTTGCAAAACGACAAAGTTACAGACCGACGACGGCGACACGACAGACAGTTTGTAATAACATCACTCAAGTAAATTGGTTGTTAAGTTGTACTCATTGCTCACACGTGATTACAGATTACAAACACTTTTACCAGAGTGTGATGGGTTAAATTTAAACGATTTCTTCATATGTCATTGATGATTGTGTCTAGCAGATCAGCTCGGTATTAAACAAATGGTACCCTTAAGGCAGCACAAACTTAGGCTTTGGAAAAAAGAGTCAGTCACATTTTCGCTAGCCTACCGGTAGTAAGGTCCATCTGGCAACGTCGCCTCTTCCAAATACCTGATAGCATGATGAGTCAGTCACGGCAACGCGACGCAGCGTCAATCATCCGATGATACGAAGGCCGAGGCGCCGGGTGGTGAAGCCAGAGAGCAGATGCACGTACGCGTGTCGAAAACATTTCTACGTCGTTCTAAGTGTGTGAAATATGTTTAATAGGTGTGAAGAATTAGCACATCTGGAAACATCGCTCCACCCCGATACTGAACTCAGTCAGACGTGTCAGCGCGGTCGGAGCATAGAAAACACTATGCTGTGGTGAGGCAGAAATACGTGTTATACCATACCAGAACGCTCATCATAGCCGGTGGCACAGTTTAAGGGCTAATATACAGAGAAATCTATGATGTGCTAACCTCTAAAAATAGCCCCCAACTCCAGGTTTTGTTCCCCTGAAATTTGTTTCAAAAATGATTGGTATCATCTGAAACGTCAAAAAACGAACTTTTAGCCTGCAGGCATGGCAGTACAAAAATCCAACCTCCCACCCCCTATTTTTTTACATTTAAAATTTGTTTTCAAAGAAGATCAGGAACATCTGAAACGTCAAAAACAACGTTTGGGCGATTTTTTGTCTTTGGCGTTTTTCCGCCTCCATTGGACTCATTTTCATAAACTACAAAAGCTCTTTCGTCAATGACCCTTGTAGTACCATTGTGTCAACGTTTCACGCAAATCCGACCAATACTTCAGGTTATAGAGGGGCTAAGGGTTATCGTACAAAATATGATCAAAACCAGAATGGTACATCTAAAGTTATTGAGGATCAAAGTATTATTATTTTTTCTGGAAACATATACAGCTTTGGAATGGTAGTATCCTTGTGTTTTCATCAAAATCCATCTGGTACATTTTAAATTATAGAAAGGGACTAGGACCAGCTGACATACAGCCAGGAACGAAGGATTCGTGTTAAAATAATAATCGAAAAACAAACAATCTTAATTTCGAAATGATGTTCATTCTTTTTGAAAATTCTCCTAAACTACCTCGCTGGCTATAACCTGCAAAATGGCCGCCCAACTGAGCCGTTTGGCATATCCCCTCATCTGCTATCCCTCACTTCCATAGTACCCTGTGCAGTCACATGCCCAGGGTTGCCATATTGGGCGACTTTCCCTCAAATTTAGTGTATTTCTCATACCCTTGGGGATTTTTTGAGGGATTTAATGTTCTGCGAGATTTTTTGAACAGAAACTAATTTTGGCGTCTTTTATTGCATTTCTAATCACGTGAAACTGTCCACCGCTGAATGACAATTTTATATTTTCTTTCCTGGTGACCGTACTTATTCCCATAAAACAGAATCAGAAAAAATAGAATAGTAAGATGTGAACTGATCTATCTATCCTCGTCTCACACGAGTGTTTCGGGAGAGAGAGAGAGAGCTAGATGGCTGCTTAGCTTCTCTTCGCTCGGCTCCCCCACGTATCTTGAAAAGTGACATTGACGGTTTTCTTTGACATTATATTGTTTTTTTGTGATATCATATAGATTTTTCTACAAGATGTTAACTTAGCAATAGCTGACGGACACTCGTCGTTTTGTAGTTGTACGTGTTGCCTAAATGTCATGATGCTTCAGTTATCAATGTTTGGCTCTGATGTGGTGTAAAATCTGCTTCAGAGATTATTGCATTATTGATGATCTATGCTGTAAGTTGTATACTATAGCTTTACATAAACGGTGCGCTAATATGTGTTGATGATAATTTCATTGGTTACTTGTCTCAAATAATTTCATTGGTTTCTTGTCTCAAATACACTTACTTGATTCATTCTATGCTACAGACAGAAATATTTATGTAAGTGAACAGATATTACTTAATTTTTTATTTCCAGTCACTTAAATTTTATAGAAATTTATTTTGCGATGTCAGTAGAAAATACAAATCAGCGCCTAGATATGAGGTATTACAAAAATCTTTGAAGTGTGATGTGTCGTTCCTAATTTTTCTGTGATGTGGCTCAATTGCATACAACGCGGGCGCGGTGGCGATTTCTCGTAGTGCTACTCAAAGTTCTTGAAAACACAAACAAACGGGAAAACCGTAATTTATATCTTTGAACCTGTGTTCAGAAAGGACAGCATACTACATTAATAACCCGTCGGGCACCGCTAATAGATATCGCATATTCAGTAATAATTTTCACACAGAAAATGCCACAGATTTTATATACAACTGCAGACCAATACAAATATTCATCCATTCAACCAACTTTCTTTCTTTCACATCTCACAGATAAATTCGGCTTCACAAAACTTATACGTGCATTCTGTAACCAACAATGCAGTCTGCAAGATGACATTTGTTGTTTTTTTGACCTTTTATTAGTTTTTTACATAATAGCCGTGTCGATTGGCTCACCTTGTACATTCACGGGTCTGCGATACCCTAATCCCATAATGCTGAATGCGTTTATCATTTGTCAATGTCAAACATTTAATTCTCTTTTGACTACTAAACTAATGCGTGTTAATTTCTCGCGTAGGCACCTGAAAAGCAACCATCTAGTAGGCAATCAGTTACGGGTTTTAGGAATAACGTCTGTTTTCAAATTTATAATATAATAATATAATATCCTTATTACTGAAGGGTAATTTGGGGGATTGTTTTAAAATAGCTGCAATTGTCTGCTTCTTCTGAGGGGACTTTGCCTGAACGGTCTGGCAACGTTGCAATCGCCAAACACAACTATCAAATTCTGACGCTCTGGCTTTGACACTGTACAAACTTTCTTTCAAAAATAATCCCAAAATGAGCGACTTTTTCTTTGAAGAAGAGGAAGATTATGGAGAGTACGACTTGGAATACTCTGAGGAAAGTACCTCTGAACCGGATGTCGATCTCGAAAACCAGTATTATCTTGCAAAGGCCTTGAAGGAGGAAAACTTGGAAAACTCTATAGCCGCTTTTCAAAAAGTTTTGGACCTTCAGGGCGACCTGAAAGGTGAATGGGGGTTCAAATCGCTAAAACAACTGGTGAAAATTCATTTTCAAATGAAAAATTATTCCGAGACCATGAAAAAATATCAGGAGTTACTTGGTAAGTGCTAGCAAGAAGAATAAATACATACCTGTTCGAAAATTTGAAGCTTACCGCTCACTTGTTGGTCCAAACACTAAAAATATTCAATCAACCAGTTAGGTACATTTATTCAAAGTCTGTTTTCGGTAAAACCATAAGCCAACCCGAACCGAAACATTTCTTATATATTTTGATTGATTTTATTTGAATTTCTGAATGATTTCTCTAACTAGCAATGTAGCAGTAGCAACACAAAACATATATATACTGAAGAAGGTAGAGTCCCGTGCTATCCATAGAGCAATGCGGCTGACATCTGTCAGTGTCAAGCCGCCATTTTTGCTGGATGCAACCAGAGCCGCTTTCCAGTGCTTTTGGATTCAGAGTTGTATGCACCCGGAGTGTGACGCTCCCGAACTGCTCTAGCAAATGGGCACGGGAACGCGGCGATAAAAACCTAACCTAATATTTTTGATGTTTTACTTTGACATTGACAATTTGTATCACACTGCCAAGCAATAAACACATTTCGCATTTATTTTCAGAAGCATTGTCAGACTATCCAATTGATGCCTGATGATGCTTTTAGAATGATCTTTATTATTCAGGAACATCTCAAATGTACGTTATGACTCTTGACAGTAGATTTCAAATGCCCCATAGAAAAAAGTCTAATGGCGCTCTATCGATTTACCTGCAAACTCGTCGTCTAGCCATTGCCGAACCGAAAGAACATAGTGAGGAGTAGTGCCGTCTCCAAGCATGATCGTGAATCATTACTTGCTTGCGAACTGGCAATTTTCTGACATAAGTTAAAGTTAGCTCCTGACCTGAGCTAAGTTGTTGATCGTAAGCACGATTTTAAGAGGAACGTACCATACCTGTCAACTGTCAAAGAACGAATAATAAAACAATAGTCAGAGTATACGTTTTGTGATGTATTAGACGTTGTTGGTTTCTAGTTATAGTTTTTATTTTCTGTTTTAAATTCTAGTTCTAAAAAATAGTGGTTTTAACTGCTCATTTCCTGTTTGGGCTTGTAACTGTTATAATTAACAATAAAACTGTTGCATACTTAGTCGTAATTTTGAATAAATGATCACTTCGATCCACAGACTCTGATAAAGTGATATTAATCATTACTAATGATAAACTTTAATTCGTATTTCCTCCTAATTAATCACTAAATAGAGACTATGAGAAATTATTTACAAACATTAAAGATACCTAACCTCAATTATGAACGTTAAGCATTCAAAAACGTCGTTTTTGGCACCCACTTACACCAGCTAAGATATCTCAGACAAAAATCCCGGTGTCTTAACAACGGGAAGGGAGAGGTAATATTCTAAGTTGTGTAAAATCGTAAGCGTCGCTCAGCTAGTTTTATTTACATAGGTTCGGTCAGAATGTGTGCTGTTCGTAAGCAACTATTGTCTACCCTTAGCTATTTCTGTTTGGTCTCCTGCACTGCCTTGCATAAACGATATACCCACGCTCTAAGCTTCTAAAAAAAGCAAAACTGCAGAGTTGGATACCCCTTAAATAAATGCACTCTAACAGGTTATAATTTGAAACCCTTTCGGATGACGTCATGGTTGAGGTGCGCTGCCAAGTGTCGTAAAATAGGCTGATTTGAATGGATACAAGTTGGACCGGTCAGGGTCAGGTGAATAACTTGCCAAAGAATTGGTTCACAGGAGACCCATTGAAAACGGCCGGACCGCAAAAGAGCAATGGCAAAGTGTACGGAGTAAAAATAGTACAGTGACGCAATTATCAGAGTGAAGAAAGATCATATCAGCTCCATGTACTGAAAGATAGACAAGTCAGCTGTGGTAAAATACTGATCAGATATAGACTAGAAACCCTCTAAGTGTGATTTGGCATACAGGTATTCATGGCAAAAGCGATCTGTTGTCCTTGTCAATAAGTTCTGAGCTAGTAGGTTACAGGAAAGTAGATAAATAACACGAAATATTTCTGCGGAATGACGTTCGGAAACAAATAGTGGATGGCGGTTCAGATTGTAAAAAGGGCGTGAGTTTTTTCCTTAATGCTATAATTTAAACTTTTGGCGATACAACCGCTTCCTTGCTGTATTTCATGAAACTTTAAAAATGAAATTGATCAGAAAGTTGGTTATTAAGATTTTTTTTAAATAAAACCAAAACCGAAAACTCTGGACTTTCTGTCAAAGACTGTGAAAATAACTATATTGATTTGCGATGACAACATTATATGAAGTTAACTTTATTGTCAATGATTAATACTTTGAAGATACAAAAAATGTAGATTCAATTTTCTTAAATCTAATAATCACTTCCAAATGCGGAATAAACTCTACTAAAATAGGCCCCTTCTATAAGAAACCCGTTACAAATAGAATGGCAAAGCAAAAATATTTGTACGATAAAAATTGATAATATTATGATGATAAGATTGCAAATAAGTAAGCCTCAGACAACTCTCACATATCGTGTGCCATGCCCAACCTGAAGGTCTTATACCTATCTGGGAAACTACTCTTGGAAAATATTTGAAATCATGGATATTTATTTTTGTTCTGCTTGTTGAGGTCCAGAGTTTATTTTTTTAAATTAGGCATAAGCATGAAGTTTCTGTGGGGTATTTTGTTTACGGTGAACATTGAAATGACCAAGAAAATAATATATTTTTCATAAGAGAACATGTAAATGTAACAAGGAACAGACACGTGTCAATATAAAACCTTGAAGAACAAAAATCCAGACATATCTATAAATTGAGACTGACCAAAGACCAAATATCACCTTAAAAAATCCAAACGTCAAAAGCCAGGCTATTTGCTTAGGGCTAAGAAGTACTTTTCTCCACATAACCTCCTCCACTCTACAGGGTTATCCAAATTAAGTGTCCACCATTAGTAACTTTGTTATTAGTGAAAATACAAAGTTGTTTGAATTAGCAAACTAGTAGCATTTTTAACGCTGGTAAAAATGAGGAATAAAAAAAAACAATTGAGAGTCGTTATTTTGATTTTTTTCAGTAAAATAACATTTTTTTAAATGGAAACCCCTGTATATTATATTTTTTTCTGTTAAAGCATCAAATTTTAAACAAAAAAGCTTACAATAACTTTTCTCCTAGGTTACAAAATGTTGAAGTTATGGCCTCCAATCTGAAACAATTAAATTGTATCGACAAACTTTATTTTCAACATCAACTTATAATCTTACAAAATACAATAACAATTTTTTTTAAAGAAGATGCTCGAAAACACCACCTTGTTCTTCAATACATTTTTGGGCACGTTTTTCAACTGCTCGAACTGTCTTAAGTATGGTCCTACCATCTATCTGGGTTATCTTTTCCCTAACTGCAGTCTTTAACGCGTCAAGGTTATCGTACCTTCGCTTATAAATTTGGTTGTTTAAGTAACCCCACAAGAAGTAATCAAGTGGGTTTAGATCTGGTGATCTGGGAGGCCACTGTATTGGGCCATTTGTTCCTATCCACTGATCATTAAAAGTAGTACTTAGAAAATGATAAGTACCTCTGGAGTTGTGGGCAGGTGCGCCATCTTGCTGAAAATGCAGATGATGTCTACTTATAAGATCCAATTCGTCTAAGAAATTAGTCAGAATTTCTGACATAAATTCCACATATCTTTCACCAGTTAGGGTTCCCTCATAAAAGAACGGGCCAACAATTTTTGAACCAATTATACCGCACCAAACGTTGAAACTGAAACGGACTTGTGGGCCTCTTGGATGTACTAACAAAAGATTTTCTCTTGACCAATAATGGTGGTTTTTTCTATTAAACGTTCCAGAATTTGAAAAATTTGATTCATCTGTCCATAAAAGGTAACGAAAGTTATTTACATTTTGGCGACAGAAGCTAAGATACCAATGGCAAAAAACAAGTCTTCTCTCTGGATCCCCTGCCAAAAGCGTTTGAACTGGTCGGTACTTATACGGAATAAATTTGTATTTTTTTAAAATCCTTTGAACAGTACCATAACTGAAATTAGAGTCCTTGAGAATATCTGCTATTGAATTCTCACGATAAGCTTCAAAATATCCAATAACTGCAATTTCCGTGGCCTCGCTTATTATGAATTCTTTTTTTGCCCTTGTTTTAGCAAAAACATTTTCGTTGCCCCTAAATTTTCGATAAAGTCTCAGAAAATATCGTTCATACGGTTGAATGCGAGCGGGATATAATTCACTGCTTGCTCTCAAGGAGGATTTTCTGCACACTAAATAGCATTCTAACATATCACACTTTTCTTCATGGGAGAACATTTTTCTTTAAATTAATGACACAATAAAGCTTATAAACAAGTATTTACACTAATGTTTGACATTATTTGATTTTATCATTGTTTTCCAAAGCCTTCTAGTTGCGAGTATGTCCAGTTTAACAATTTGTCGCTTATCTTAATGCTGTCAAATCGCGAACGCCATGTTGTTTTCATAGCCGTCTTAATATTATAATACTGCAAATAATTAAAAATATTTATCGTTATTTTGACTTTATTTTTGACTTTAGCGGAAAAGTCATTATGAACTTTTTTGTTTAAAATTTGATGCTTTAACAGAAAAAAATATAATATACAGGGGTTTCCATTTAAAAAAATGTTATTTTACTGAAAAAAATCAAAATAACGACTCTCAATTGTTTTTTTTTATTTCTCATTTTTACCAGAGTTAAAAATGCTACTAGTTTGCTAATTCAAACAACTTTGTATTTTCACTAATAACAAAGTTACTAATGGTGGACACTTAATTTGGATAACCCTGTATACAAGGCCCACAAGGAACTAAGGATAGATTTCGTTCATACTCTGCAGAAACGTGTCAAATCAAAACCTCGAAGATAAAAAAATCCAGACATTCCTATGAATTGCGATCAAAGACGAAATTCCACCCTAAAAAATACAGACGTCACAAGTTTTGCGTGAGTGGTTCTACTTTTCGTGGCCTATAACTTGGGCAACGGTCAGCGATGAGAAGAATTGAGAATTGTTCGAG